ATCGCGAGCTTGTTGTCGTAGAAGCGCTGGAGCGCGTCGATTTCCGCCTCCAACGGGCTCGAGCTTTCAGCGGCGCGGGGCATCACACCCTGCGCCTCGGCGGCAGCGCCAAACTCTTCACGCCACTTGGCCAACTCGGCGCGGAGCACGGAGCGCTCATCTGCCGAAAGCGCGCTCACGGATTGCTTGCTGGCAGCAGCGGACGCAACAAGGAGGGAGCCAAACAACTTCATGGTAGTGCAGGGGGTCGATGGCGAATTCAAAAGTGACTCTTGTTTCAAAGGAATCAACCTGTGCACACTTGATGCCACATTGAAGGTCCTGGTTTAATGATGCCGGCGTCGTATGGGTACCACCGTCCAGAAATCAGATAATCACGTGCGTCTGAGTCGGCTGGTTTCGTGTGTCTCACGGCGGTGCCAAAGTTTTAAATGGCCATTGTATGCACTATGGCTATAACGGCGTGGCGGGGGCAGGGCTACTCCGTGCGCAGTTTCTGATTTGGTTACCCCATTGGACGAGGGTAAAAGAGTTGCAGAGGGAGTTGGCAGTTGACGATATCTTACGGCCATGACATTCTCCACCTCCCTCCGCGCCGAATCCTAACGCCAAAGGCATCAAAGGCATATGAGGTCTGGACCTCGATGGAAGCGGGGGATATGAAAACAAGACTATTGGCACAACAAACTGATGATTACTGAGCCAAAATCCCCCCCTTACCGGATACAAGTGGGTTGGCGCTGGGTAGTGCCACGACTCGCAGCCGCAGACATACGTATTGAAACGCCAGTATTATGAACAACACAGTTTGTCCATATCTCGGTTTCGCGGAAGGAGGCAAATGGCGTTTGCATCGAGTGCTACGTCCAGTCCTCATATGCCTTTGATGCCTTTGGCGTTAGGATTCGGCGCGGAGGGAGGTGGAGAATGTCATGGCCGTAAGATATCGTCAACTGCCAACTCCCTCTGCAACTCTTTTACCCTCGTCCAATGGGGTAACCAAATCAGAAACTGCGCACGGAGTAGCCCTGACCCCGCCACGCCGTTATAGCCATAGTGCATACAATGGCCATTTAAAACTTTGGCACCGCCGTGAGACACACGAAACCAGCCGACTCAGACGCACGTGATTATCTGATTTCTGGACGGTGGTACCCATACGACGCCGGCATCATTAAACCAGGACCTTCAATGTGGCATCAAGTGTGCACAGGTTGATTCCTTTGAAACAAGAGTCACTTTTGAATTCGCCATCGACCCCCTGCACTACCATGAAGTTGTTTGGCTCCCTCCTTGTTGCGTCCGCTGCTGCCAGCAAGCAATCCGTGAGCACGCTTTCGGCAGATGAGCGCTCCGTGCTCCGCGCCGAGTTGGCCAAGTGGCGTGAAGAGTTTGGCGCTGCCGCCGAGGCGCAGGGTGTGATGCCCCGCGCCGTCGAAGGCTCGAGCCCGTTGGAGGCGGAAATCGACGCGCTCCAGCGCTTCTACGACAACAAGCTCGCGATCGAAGAGGCCAGCCGCAACAACCCTGAAGCCACGTTCGATTACAATCACCCGTTCGCTCTCATGACGCAAGCTGAGTTCAAGAAGTTTGTGGAGGGTGTGTCTCTCGAGGAAAGCCGCAGTGCATTCCGCTCGGTCCCCGAGGCTGACCTCAACACGACCAGCATCAAGGCGGCGTCGGTGGACTGGACCACTGGCAAGTGCGTCAACCCGGTGCGCAACCAAGGCCAGTGCGGGTCGTGCTGGGCCTTCTCGGCCGTGGGTGCCGCGGAACCGGCGCACTGCATCGTGACGGGAGAGCTCCTCGACCTGTCCGAGCAGCAAGTGACGAGCTGCTCCACTGCGAGTGGTAGCGCGGGATGCAACGGCGGCTGGCCGTTCGCCGCCATGACGTACGTGTCGACGACCGGGCTCTGCTTGGAGCGCGACTACCCGTACACGTCTGGAAGCACGAGTCAAACCGGCTCGTGCAACAGCAACTCGTGCAACAAGAAGAAGCTCAGCATCGGTGCAACCGTCCGCGTGAAGGGTGAGGCAGCGCTGGACGCGGCGCTCAACACGCAGCCCCGTCGGTGCTGGTCGAAGCGGGCAACTCCGTGTGGATGAACTACCGCTCGGGTGTGGTCACGCAATGCCCCGGTTCGTACTCGGACCACGCCGTCGTCGCCGTGGGGTACGACAGCACGTCGTACAAGCTCCGCAACTCGTGGGGCGCCAACTGGGGTGAAGCCGGTCACATCCGCGTCAAGCGCGGTGTGAGCGGCAAAGGTATGTGCAACATTGCCGAGGACGTAGTGTTCCCCAAGATCGAAGGCAACACGCCCACTAACTCGCCGTCCCCGACGACAAAGCCCACCCCGACGACAAAGCCCACCCCGACAAGTCCTCAACCTGACGTGTGCGCCGATTGCACCGGGTGCTTCTACCCTGCTGGGAACCAGTGTTTGCCCGCCGAGTACACCAAGGACGACTGCGACTATTACCGTGATGAGTATGGCACGGTTTGGTGTGGTGACAAGCCTACTCCTACCACTACCAAGCCTACCGCCAAACCTACCACTACCAAGCCTACCACCACCAAGCCTACCACCAAGCCAACCACCACCAAGCCCACTCCCAAGCCAACCACCACCAAGTCCACTCCCAAGCCCACCTCCAGTATTGACTGTGGCACGTGCAATGTATGTTACGATCCGGCCTCTGACCGATGCTTGGACAACATCAGCAAGTACGATTGCCGAGCCTTGACCTCAACCAAGGGCTATGTGTGGTGCGGCCACTGGTAAAACCTTGCCGCCTGCATGCATGATCGTTTGTGTGTCGCCGTAGGAGTTTGTTTCTAACTCTAGAAAATTGACATTGCCATCATTGTCAGCTGCTCTCGTCAGTGTCTCTGCATGGGGATGAATCCACCTGGGTGTATACCGATGGCGTGAGCCAGTGGAGCTGACCCGCGTTTGTAGTCATATCAAGCACCTGTTGTATGTTTCGAGCAGCCACGGCATGGCTGGGAATATTGGAGGTTTGTCAGAAGAGGGGGCATTTGAACGGTGTCGTATTCAGCACGTTCTTCGATTTAGCACCTGCACAAACATGGCAATGTCACTTGTTCGTCCGGGATAAACCCGGTAGTGAACATGATGCACCACGATGAATTATCGTGCAGGGTAGGGGCTTCTTGAAGGCAAAAATTGATTCAACAAGCTGGTCAAGTGAGAGGACCAAGCTCTTAATTACTGAGGCAAAGAAGAGTAACTCTCAATGCAGTTCACAGTAGTTGTCTCTGCAGCACTGCACTTTTGAATCATTCTCCACAACAGGTGTCCATGTGACTTCCAACGGGGCCCTTGCGTAGTTTTTACCTACATTCACGATCTGCGCGAGAGCAGGCCCTCCATGGTGACCACTTCGTGTGCAGCGGCTGAAGTTGTCCTTTACTAGGATCCTAACTGTTGTCGCAGTAGCTGCAAACAGTGGGAAAACACGGCTGACCGCAAGGGGCTACGCTCTCGTTTCTACGTTTCACAGTTGTTGGCGCAAATTGACCAGTCGCGTCGCTTAGATTCAGCGCCGACTATCGCAAGTCCACAAGTTGTCACTGTGGATGCGTCATTCAGTGCGCTTACAACCTCGACAAATTTCCTCGGTCCTCGTCCGGGATCCTGGCACTCCAAGCGATGAGCTATAACTTTTTATGGGTGCGAGTTTGACCTTTCAGAGTGACCATAATATGTTTGGTAGGGATTAACTGTAAGACTCAATCTCGGCCCCACGCGAGTGCACTATGTCAAGCTGGTCGTGACTGCTCTGCTTGGCATGGCGATGGGGACACCGTGGGGGAGTTCTTGAGGCAGGGCTCAATGAAGTCACGTGCCGCCAAGATGCTCCTGAAACAGCAGGGAGAGACCATAATAAGCAATCTTGAGCGCAATCGACGCCGAGCCAACGACGCCGGTCAATCAAACTGATCCGTTGTTTCAACTGTCAAAGATGCACATAGTCGCCTTCGCATGAATCTTTTCCCACCTTGCCACCGGCACACAATATCCCGCTGCCATTCCTTCGACAAACGAGGTATATTTTGTTTGTATATATATAAGGGGGCGTCAACACATCTCAACGACGTGGTGGCAGCTACAACAAACCTGGTCATTTAATTACGCGCCAGATTTGCATGACGAAGGGAAGCTATCAGTTGATGGTGAAGCTTTGTGAACCAAGAAATGAGTCCTTACAATAGCTCGCAACGAAAAGGGCTGAAAGGCACCAGGAAGAGGACAAAGCGTCCTTACAATAGCTCGCAACGAAAAGGGCTGAAAGGCACCAGGAAGAGGACAAAGCG